ATATATATATATATATATATATACACATATGTATGTATATATAGATGCATGTATCACGTGTACGTGTGTGCGTGTGAGTTTTTTTTCTTTCGACGAACGAGTTCATTCACCACGCATTGGTTAATTCTTTTTATTTTGTTTTTGTCACACTTCTTTTTTATCACTATTCAACAAATTTCAACGTTACCGATAAATTCGTCCGAGATAAGAGAAATAAATTTTCGTTATCTACTTGGGAACAAAGAAATATAATAATACTCGTCGTCTCCTCCTTTTCTTTCCACCCAATATATTGGAAATAGAAAAAAAAAAATAAAAGTAAATGAAAAAAAAAAGAAAAAATAGAATTAGAAAAGGATCAAACGAGAGAGGACTCGAGTTCGAAATTATTTTTCTTTTTTCCGTTCCACACAGTTCCTTCTTCTTCTTCTCGCGATATTACAAAGAGAACAAAGAAGTCTCTCTCTCTTACTCTCTCTCTCTCTCTCTCTCGCTCTCTTTCTTACATTACATTTTTCTTTTTCTCCCTCCGAGTTTTTTGCCACGAAAAAACGAAGCTCTTCTCTCTTTCTTTTTTTTTTTTTTTTTTATTTTCCTTCATCTCTATTTTCATGCAAGTATATATATATATATATATTGATCGTTCAACGGTATTTGATATATACGAGCACGATTTACTACTCTCTTCGATATAATATAATCGTTGACTTTGTAGATTATGGTTTTTCTTTTGTTTTTCTGCATTTTTAGGTTCATCCTCTTGGTGATTCTTTGTGCGTACTGCGAAAGCGAAGACCCGCTTGCTCATTCGCGTCTTCATTTTTATCGAAGTCATCATTACTGTTATCATCATCATCATCATCATCATCATCATCATTATCATCATCGTGATCATCATCATCATCATCATCATCATTGTTATTATTACTATTATAATTATTATCATTAATCCTCGTCTTCGTCGTCGTCGTCGGCATGATTATTATTCTTGTTCTTGTTCGTATGATCAAAAAACGATTTAGACGAGACGAGGAAAGTATGTTGCTCGTGGCATATAACTTTTCTCTAGGTTTCTAAGCCAGGAACGAGGCTGTGGAAAGTTTGGATGTCGTGGAAAGCTCTTCCGCAGCTCTGATTGTTGTTCCTTTCGAATTTGGCTAAATCAAAATGTTCATCGAGCGATTGCAATTCGACCAGTCGTTCCTCCAACGTTTTAGCGGAGTCCGCGAACCTGGCAAAGTCGCAAATCCTGTCTGGGTCAACTACGTCACCAACTTCCATCATGCTAACGTCCGTTGATCTGCTTGCCGATGATAATTGTGTGCTAGGATCGTCCAGTTCAGTTGAAAAGAAACCAGAATTGTTGCAATTGTTATGAACGTTCCCAGTTATCGTCGTCGTTGAGGTTGAGGATGATACTGCTATTGGTATCGTTGGTGTCGTTGTTGTCGTTGAGGTTACATTCGCCGTTGACGTTGGATCGATCAGATTTGTAGGATCACTTACATCAATCGTACCACCTAAACGATCCTCTGTATAAACCAAGTGATGATGAGCCGATTCAGCGTCGTGAACGTCATCGATATGCGATAGTAATCTGGGGGTCGGTGGTAGGATGTAAAAGTCACTGAAAACGTCATCTTGTAAATCCAAATCGTCGTGCCTTTGACGTTTCGTACTAAGCCCTTCGTTCCTTATATCATCGGCTAGCCTGTTAAAATAAAAACAATTTAAAATAAATCCCATTTTATCTCGTCGATTTTATTTTTAAATAATATTAATAATTTATTATATAACAATGTGTGAAACAATTAATTATTGTTTTTTTTTGTGCTCTCACCTCTTTCTCGAGGAATTGTCATCGTCAACGATAAGATTACTAGAAACGTTGTTCTCCTTCGTCGAGTCATTCAAATACGTGACCACCGGAAGTCCATAATTCCTAGTCTTCTCGTCCCGGTTTTCACGCTGCAATCGTCTAACTGCGTTGTTTATTAACACAGATCTGCACAAACTAGCTTCGGGATCCTCGATTCTACGTAATTTTCCTGCCGAGATTTTCAATAATCTACGACGTTCTTCTCTCGCACGATATTTTGCCGAAATCATCGTGGGTCTGCTCCTACGAATCACTAAATCTTCTTCCAATCTCATCTTAGCTTCTGAAAGAAAAAAGAAAAATGTATATGTTAACATTTTTAATAGGTCGTTACAACATTTACTATTGACAAGAATGTTTTATGACATACGAGTGTCACGGAGCAACATATTTAATATTTTTAAAGGAAGTAAGAGAGTGGACGAGAGATAAGTAAAAAAAAAAAAAAAGAAAAAAAAAACTACAAAAAATAAAACAACATCGAAGTCCACCTGGTGTGAAACATTAGGTAGGTGTACCTAATTTGATTTTTATATATATCCAATGAATCTTTTCTTCCAAAGTGATACACACACACACTTCTCTACTAATAACAAATAAATATATATTTTATTATGAAATGAAAATATATAAAATGACTATAAATAATTTATCGAAATAGAAAATCTCACACAGTTAAGTTAATTATCTCTTTGATAATAATATTGAAAAATAAAAATTGTTTCTTTTAAAAAGGTTACACGAAAAATAACAAATTTGAGTGGTTGATAAGCAAATAATTATATTCTTACAAAGGTAGACTCTGACTACACGTCGATAACGATGAAGGAAGATGTCTTTTTTTTTTCTTTCCTTCTATTGTCAACGACTGACCCAGTTACTCTCTTCGTTTCCGTCTTTTCAACGAAACGCTATCAAATTGACGTTATACAGTGGAACACATCTCTCCTCTTCCCTTTTATTTTATCCTTTTTCGAAACACGCCGCCGCCGCCATGTTGTTTGTTCCCGCGTCGAGTCACAATAAAAAATATATGCAAGACTGCGAAGACGACGAAAACGAAGACGAGAACGGAGAGGAGAAGAGATGCATGTTCTCGCTAACGTTATTTATTCGTTTCAAGGTTGACAAAATTATCTCTCGTTGGCGATAGACAAAGTAATGTTACCCGAAGTTTTCGCGTAAAAGGTTATTTAATAAATTCAATATGGCCGTCGTATAGATAAAAAAAACAACAATTTGTCGTTCAGACGATAAACTTTTGTTTTTTTTTTTTATTTTCTTTCACACTAGCATATATATATATATATATAAATTATGTAGTATAATCGTGTGTTTCTTTTTTTCTTTTTGTTTTTTTTTTTATTGAATAATTTTCAAATTATTGAAATATATCTATATACATGAATAATATTATAATGAATGATAATATGACACGTTCGATAAAATATCATCAAAATGTCAACGAGAACTTGATTTTACGATATTATTTATTGTCGGTATCGAACAACATTATAGATATAGTTTCTACTAAGTTTTTCATCTCTTTGCGTAATAATAACGTATATACGTATACAAAAACGAAGTCGTATAATTTTCTCAACATTTTTACACAAATAAAAAGAAAGAAAGAAATAAATAGAGAACCCCCCCCGGGGATATAAATTACGAATTATCTTTTACTTATTAGAGAGGTTTAACTATGCGAATTCGAGAAGAAAAAAATTTCACACCGGTCATAAGAAAATAATCTTCTCGTTGGGTAATAATCTATCTAACGTTTGAAAAAGAAAATGATAGAAAGAGAGAGAGAGAGACAATAATATTATCCAGTATGCCGATCCATAAAGGAAAAACCTTTTTACATATTCCCTAGTTTTCGACGACGACGACGACGACGGCAAACTTGTACTTTAAATGCGTCACGATTGAATCATACGGTTGCTATGAAAATGACGTATAATAGACAGGCAGTCACAATCACCTAGCCAAGTATAATACTGCACCCAGGTTTGCTGCTTTTTTTTTTTTTTTAAGCGGATCTCATTGCTCTTTCTACTTATCCATTTATTATTTCTTTTTTCTTTTTTTTTTTTTAATTCGTAAATACATGTACGTACGTACGTATGTATATTATACATTCCGTTATACGAGGGTAATAGTTTAGACAGTTTAATATTCTTACAATATGAAATGCTACAAGTTTGGTAAATAATCGTAAAAATTCAATCATATTTTTTATCGAGAGATCCTTTATCAAACTAAACTATTTCTTTACTTTTTATATAACTTAAAAGTTTATAGACCCATTCTGCGGTAATAAGTATAATTAATGTTATATTGGATATAATGTTTTGTTTTTTTAAATTAATTTTGATATTACCAATTTTATTTCTGTACTTCTATAATATATTTTTATGACAATTTTAATTCTTAATTATGAAATGTAATTTTTGTTGTTCTCATATATGTGTATGTTATGGCCGATGAAAAAATGCATTAAATGCCACTAATGTAAGATGTTTTACCAAAGTTGCAAGGCCAACGGACAAAGACACGGTGGGTCGGGGAGGGGGAGGGGTATATGAAATCGTTCCTTTGTAACCTTCGCTCGGTAAAATGTTTAAATTGTTTCATTTTCATAAACAAATCGTTTTGGAATATAATTTCAAAGCAGTAACCAAGAGAAGGAGAGAGATTGGATTTCTTCGAACTGATTATCTCATCACTTTTGAAATAAATATTCTTCTTCTTCTTCTTATTACATTCTTCAAACATCTATTCCACGCATACGATACCTTCGTTATTTCCGAGTAATCGTTGTCAGAAATTTTTAGATAAGAAAATGTCCGTCGTTTTCAAAGTAAAATAATAGAAAATAAATTATTCGGAAAAAAAAAAAGAGAGAGAGAAAAAAAACAAAGAAAGATAATAATTATACTTTAAATTTTATCTACAAAAAATTTTTGAAATTGAACGCTTGCAATTCTTTAACGTAAAACTTTTAACGTATGCCCTCCCTCCCTTCCACCCCTCATTAATTAAATTGTTGCGTAAAACGATAAGAAATATGTTATTTATTTCTTGTCACGAAAATGTTTAAAAATAAGTGATACGAAATTTGGTCACGAATTTTTTTTATTTTTCATAACATACGTTGTTATTTATGTGACAAAAATCGCATTTATAAAAGTAGGTTTTAACGTTCGAACGCGACCACGTCTCTCTGTGTGTGTGTGTATATATATATATGTGACACGTGTACGTGTATATGAATGAAGGTAAGGTGTGTATCTATCCTACGAATGCTTTTTCTCATCGGCTCGGTAAGCGCGTCGGTGTTTTAGTAGAAAACGAGGACACGATTGTTTCGCCTCGGTGCTTTTTTGGACGCAATTTGTGTTTCGCATCCTGCAAAAGTTAATTCCTTAAATCGAACCACGAAAATCCCGTAATATATAATTATGCATAAATGATTTACATTTACTACACTTATATATATATATATATATATATATATATATATATGTAATATGTGTGAATGTGTACTATGGATATGTGTAATTGATTAGCAAATCATCCTCGTGGTGATTGATAAGACAGGAAACAACAAAAATAAAAAAACAAACATAAATGTCAATCGGTAGCGTTAAGAAGAAGGCTATATGTATGTATATGCAAATCAAAATGGCGGAGTTCTTTTTTCTTTCTTTTTCTTTTTTCCATGCGACACAACATATTATCTATCTCTCGTGGTTTTACATTCCGTTAATAGAAAGCTGCTTGTGAAATGAGATACAATTATGCGACTTGGTTGGGAATAGAGAAGAAGAACGATAAAATAAAATAAAATAAAATAAAAAAAAAAAAAAAAAAAAAAAAAAAAAAAAAAGAAAGAAAAGGAAAGGAAAGGAAAAGAAGGAATTGAAAGGAAGAAAGAAGACACATGATATATATATATATATATATATATATATATGTAGTAAGTAGAAAGTAAAGTACAAATCGTAGTGATTTCGTGTGAAATCTGGTCGGTATAGTAGTAGTAGTAGTAGTATCTTCTTTTTAAAAGAGTAAGTTCCTTTTTTAAGTGGGTCAATTGTAGGTTAACTAATTAAATGGCTACAACAAACCGAGGGAGAATTAAATCGTTAAGCAAGCCGAAACATTAACTTACGTCTATTTATTTATCCGTGCTTTAGATCACGCGTTCGTGATACCGGATGACAGAATGATGCGCGCGCGCGCGCACGTGTGTATGTGTGTGTGTGCCGATCTGTCTCTGCTTAAGTCGCGTAAGTAGTAAACGTAAGTGTGCGTTCTACTTTAGAGATACAACTACTCGACTAACGATCATCATCATCATCATCATCATCATCATCATCATCGTACTACTGTTTTACGTATCCTGAATTATTTCGTCATTCGATGATTGTTCCGTTTTGATTAGCTGCGATTATTGCTGCCGTGAATAAAAAAAAAAAATAATAAGACAAAAATACAAAAAATCTACAAAGTAGGAAAAGCGAATGATAATATTGTACATCATTCATCGAATCCGATTTTGATTCGACGAATTTATAAATCCAACATGTTTATAAATATATATATGAGTGTGTGTTGATTTTTCCCCGAAACAACACATCACTTATACCATACTTAATCATATTTCTATGAAAAAGAATATTTTCGTGGAAAAATAACCAGCAAGATAATATAATATATTTCTATCGTACCAATATCATTCCTGCAAACTTAGCGAACTCTCATCGGGTATTTTATTTCGAGGAATTTAACGTGACACTTATTTTTAGGATTTTCCAGACTAACACGCGCGCGAACGTATTAACAAACAGGATATATGCTTTTATTCGCTTACTTAGTTAGTCGTAGCAGTAAAAAAAACTTCCTTTGATGTCACGGATTATTTCATAGGTCGCGTAACTTGTCAGAGGGCTTGTCCTTTTTTAACGGATAAATTTATTGTCTTTTTAGTGACAAATACGTAAACGACATTATTGTTTTATGAGAATATCGATATTTTATATATAATACGTTTACGGTGATAAAAAAGGATAAGAAATATGTTTTCAAAATAATTGTCCCAACATTTTTCTTTAACTGCCCCCACTCCTCCTCCTCCTCATCATCCACCAATAAACAACGCGTCTAAACTTCATCGATGAATTTGAAATGATAATATATAAAAAAAGGATAGAAATAAAAATTAGAAATTAAAAAAAAAAAGAAAAAAGAAATAATTTTTTCAACTAATGTTATCAA